TTGATAAGCAAACTTGGCTCAGCTGGCAAAGTACAGATGCTTTCTAAGTCACCAACAGAAGCATTATCAGCTATGTGCCTGCATTAATGAAATCATATAGTCTTGGGATTACAGGGCCCAGCTCTGCCCTCTGCCTCATTCATCACTGACCTCAGAGGGTGAGGTAATTCAAAACCAAAACATGGCCTATGGCCAGTACAGGTATTGACTGCACTTTGTCAACCTGTGAAAGCGCAGTGCCAAAACATAAAATAAAAACTCAGACCCATGAAATTGAATCTAGAGAGATTTAGGCACCAAAACTCTCCAATTCAAAATAAAATTGTGAGAGAGCCATTTAACCCTGATGAACATAAGATCACAAAACGTGTCTTTGGTTTCCATCCCAAAAGTCCACAAGTACTTTCAGCATTATAAAAATTTGAAACAGTCCTGATCTGAGCAATGAGCCAGCCTGGTTTTGGACCAGCATTCTTTGGGTGATAATCAAAGTCTGGAAGCATTCACTTCTGCACAAAGTCAAATTTTGCAAGTATATGTAACTACCAAATGGTGACAACATAAAAATAGCAAAGGTGCGTGAGGTGATTATTGAGTACAAATTCACATAAGACAGAAACACTTGTTCAGCCTTTTAATTATTTTAAATGTTGCACACACACACACCCACACACACATACACACAATCCACCCCCCCAAAAAACCCCAAACAAAACAGAAACAAACAAACAAACAAACAAACAAAAAACCAAAAATGTTCCACTCCTTTTGCCACCTGGGATGACTGCTGAAGTCTGTGACTTACTACAAGTCCTAATTGCTTCCATTCTGAAGGACTGATCAAAACAAAAGTGAGGAGTTGAAGCCTTCTTGCTGAAGCTGAGCTACTACACAGAAAAGGAAAATTTATGGAAAAAGAAAGAAACATTAAAGGCTATACCACAGAGAAGGTTGCAGTTGAGACTGGTCTCTGCTGGCAGCATGAATAAACCCCTCGTGTGCAATAGTGCAAAGGGAATCTTGTACATACTGCTGAGCTCTCAGCGATTCTCTCCTGAGGATGTTATGGTTTCTGCTTATTCTTCTGAACTGCCCAATTCTGAACTGAGGTATTTGGGGACTTAATTAAGAGATATTGAGATTTTTACTGTACTGCTTTCCTGCTGTTATTATTGCAGCTCGTGAGCAAAACCACTACACTGCAAGAAAGCAAACTGGAAAACAGCATTTGTGATTTGTGGACGTCTCAAAATAATGTGTCATCAGATGGAACAAATAAACTTAGAAAAACAAATTTCACAGAAAGCTCTGCAAAAACATCAGGTGAAGCTTTCCTCTCAGCAGTTCAGACATGGAAGTATCAATGCAATGAGTTCCTTGTGACTGTGCTAATGGACACACTGAACTGCTGGCCAGCAAAACTCTGCTGAATTAGAATCCCATTCCCCCTCCCACTGAGAAAATTCAGAGGCAGCAGCAAAATGTACTCTGTGATCCTCTGTATTTCACCACATCTTCTCCTCCCCACAACTTACATCTGGAAGGGCACTCTACCAGAATGAAGAACTTGGTAGAAAAGCCTGGAATAAAAATTGCTTCATGTACCTTGTTCCCCACTCAGGAATGTGTAAGGTCTAACCCCAGGGCCTGGCACAGCTCCCATCTTCCCCTGGCAGCTCCTGGAATCCAGGAGCTTCTGCTGAATCTGCAGCCCTCTGCAGCTTCCTGGAGAGCTGTTATTTTTCAGGAGGGAGTAAAGCAAGGAAAGGCTAAGAAGACACTTTGTTCTGTAGGTTTTCTGAGGCCCTTATGAATGCATAACATTTTTTTTTCCCAGCAAACAGAGATTTCTTCGGTTACGCACTGGTTATAAAATTAGTTTTATAGGTCGCGCAGAGATCTTGACAGTTTGTAAAATACATGAGAGGAATAAGAGTGATATCACATGTTCATATCAAATATGTGTTTCTCCCAGTACTGATGATTAACTAGTCCAAAGTAAAAATATTTTAATAAGTGACTTAAAAGTTAATTAATTCATCAATTACTGAAAAGTGACTTAATTCCTCAATATTTATAAGATACACATGAACTGTAACGGGAAAAAAATGTTTGCTTGAAGGTTAATGATTGTTTTATGATTTATGATAAGGCCATAAATCTCTATGCCAAGAGGAGGGAAGATCAAAAGGAATCACATCCCATTATGAATCCTGAGGCAGCCTGAAGACTTCACTTCTTGTATCTTGTTTCCTAGCAAGACAAAAATTTGAGCTTGAAATGTAAAAAGATAAAACAGGCTCCGACAATTGAATCAGCAGCACCAGCAGCTCTGGAGCCGAGTTACTATGGCAATGGCTGCACAGCTTCTTCTTACTCTTACTACTGGTACAGCAGCTTTGCTTTGCAAATGTATGTGGGAGTTTTCCACCCCAATGTGCCACGGGTGCCCACGGTGTCAGGAGCAGTCCACGGTGTCAGGTGCCCTGATCTCTACTGAATGGAAGATCAAATTTGTGTGATTAAAATATGTGATTTGCAGTATTCCATGGAAACAAGTCTTGGAGCAGTAGCGAAAGGTCCCAGAATTCTTCCTGATCTTTTGTGGCAGGAAGGTAGGTGCCAGTGCTTAGAAGATATTTTAAAAGCACAGAATTTTTATTACAGGAATTTTAGGCTTTTTTTTCAGCTGTAACTACCTCATGTCTCTGAATTATAGATGTCTTGTTGCTGCCAGGGAAGGATGGTATCATCTTTTTGGCAAAGCATAGCTTGGAGCTCTACATAAGTAATGGATCTAATTCTGATGCCAGGTTAATAAATTAGTAATTATGACTCTTTGGATATACAACAATCAGTGCGTCAGTACTTACCAGTGTCCTCTTTCCTCTTCGAGGTCTAGATGAATGCATTACCTTTCCTGTTACTGCCGCTGTGTTCTCTGCACTACACATTAGAAGCAGATTTGCTCTTAATTATTTTTGAGACAGTATTTAATATTTATGATCTGATAGCAAACAGAAGTTCCCAAGAAAAATTGGGGCCCTTTATAGGTGTCATGGGAAAATTAACTATATCCCAGCTGAAACCAGGACAGGAAGATTAACAATATCCCAGCTGAATCCAGGAAGCACAAATGTAAAGGGAATCTTTGCCCAAAAATATGATTGCTGACAGTACAACTTCTGCAAGCTCATTAAGTCCTATAAGTAGACATATATGTTGAACATCAAATGAGTTTCATATTGAGAATTTCATCATCCTTCTTGTGGAAAAGCAGTCCTTTTCACACATGGTGAATAAATAAATGCTTATAGCCCAGAATGTAGTCGTGCCAGTGCTTGTTTTTTAAATAGATCCTCTCTAGAGAGTAGATGAACAAGGTTACCACATGTGCATTAATCAATAGGAGGGTCAACAATAATTACCACAATGAATGGTAGAGAGAGAATATACTACAGTTAAATATATTGTAATGTATCATCTGAGAATCAAGTACTTTTTTATGTCAGAATCAAGTAAGATTTTGTCTCTCTACGTGTTCCATAAACATGTTACTGAAAAATAATAGGAAGAAATTCTTTACTTTAGGAAGATATTCTTTGCTGTGAGGGCGGTGAGACACTGGAACAGGTTGCTCAGGGAAATTGTGGATGCCTCAGCAGTGTCAATCTCCAAGACCAGCTTGGATAAGGAAGAGCTTGAGCAACCAGGTCTAGTGGGAAGCGTCCGTGCCCATGACCGGGGAGGTCAGCACTAGATAATTTTTAAGGTCTCTCCCAAACGCTTACGAGTCTGTGATTCTGTGACTGAGAAGCAGAGAAGTCTGACGGTGCATTTTGCTAACTGTGTGGCTATACATCCATCGTATCTGCACCGGCATTACCTGCCCTCTGCCCGTCTCCTCATGCCCGCGTTCCTTGGCGCCTTTGGCGGCCGTGGCGCGGCCAGCCCGGCGGGACGGCGGGGCTGCCGGGGCTGAGGGGCTGCCGGGGCTG